TATTTTTAGTAAAAAAAAAGTTTTTTTTGTAAATTCTTGCAAAAATTGAATAATTGTCAGATTTTAATTAAATTTTCAGGACTTTTCAATGAATTAAATTTTTTTTTTTAGAAAATCTTGGTAAAAAAAATTTGAGAAATTAAAATTCCACTCTCTTTATATTTATTAGCAAATTAATTAAAAGCAGGATTCCTTACAGAATTTAAATCATCAATTTGTTTTTGCCAAACAGAAACACCATTTACCAAAAATCTGCTTTGAATCATAAAATCAAAAATGCAATATGACATTAGAAAAGGATATAATTGCTTTTATAAATAAGATATATTAAAGACACTATTGTTTAAAGAAAATTTTTTTTTCAATGAATAATGAATTTTAACCAGAAATTTTTTCAAAATTTTATTTAGAGTAATTTTCAATCTTAAAGTTCTGTATTAATTCCACACTTTTATGATGTTGTAAAAACTATATTTACTAATCATAAATGGAAAAGCTTTGTGCAAATCATCAAACATCGATATTTTTAAAAGAATTCTTTTTTGTGTATAAACATGCCGATTTTTGTAAATACAGTTGCCCATACATGACATTATCAAAAAATAAGAGCGAAACAAATTTAAAACCAAAATTTCTAAAATTCAATAAAAGATTACAGAAAATATTTTCCTAAATTTTTAAGATTAAAGTGTAAAACTTATATATATAAAAGGCACTCATGTCATATTCAATTATTTTTTACAGCTAAAGTTGCCATAGAACAACAAACAACCATCTGTCAAACACATCAACGGCTTAATAAACAGCTACTGCTGTGTTAAAAATGTATTTCTGCAATATTTTAAACTTCAAGTAAATAATAATTGTTCCAAATCAGATTAATTATACTTTAAATCAGCTAATATTCCTCAAATAAATTTCTTAAAAGTATATTTTATTTTTGGAAAATATTTTAATAAAGATGAAAAACAACTAAAAAAGAGCACTAATCAGCTCTTTTAGCAAAAAAAAACCGCAAAAAACTCCTAGTCAATTTAAATTAGTTTTTGAAATGCAGCAAAGTATTTTGCTTATTGGAAATCTTAAATTTAATTTGAAATTAAAAATCATTTTAAACCTTCGGTATTACATTTTCTGTCGTGGTACCCACTTTAAATGCTTTCTTTGAACTTAAATTTCCATTCTATGGTCTAAAGTTACTCCAAAGTATTAAAAGAAAAATTAAATTTTCATATATAAACTTTTTAAGCATTTTTAAAACATTCATTAGTACTTTTTTTGTCACATCAACTCATTGAGCTGCCATAATATGCGAAAAATGTAGACAACAAATTTAAAATTCTCTTTATGATCTAATATTTGTCTTAGGGATGTGTTTCAATGTCTATTAGTAAATTTAAGGATTATTTCACTGGTTTTTCTAAAAGTAAAATGTACCTTTTACTTAAAACATAATGAAAATAATGTTTTATTTACGGACACTATGAGGTCAAAGGACAAGCTAGAAAAATACTAATTCTACCCCTGCCTACCGCTGTCCTAAAAAAAAAATATAAAAGCTAAAGAAGTACGGAAGACCAGCAGTGCAATAATCAAGAATTTGTTATTTATGTTTAAAACTAAAATTTTCTTTAACCTTATATAACCAATATGTTTAAGAATATAATTTTTTATTCTATGAATAATTGTATTTTTTATACTGACTGAACGGGAGATAGTACACCTCTGATAGTCAACGTGAGATATCAGAATTATTTTCCTTTTTGTACATCCATGTCAAAAATAATCTAACAGTTGCTAAGAGGAAAAATAAAATAAAATTCTTTTTTAAATAGTTACCCTCGAAAATGACATTACATTTTTTTAAATCTTCAAACATGTCTTTCTTTATTTAATAAAATAAACTTGTGGCGAACAGCAACGGAATTTCACAATTGCACTGAAAAATAATTTTTTGAAAACAAATATTAAGTTTTTTTAGAGTCAATATTTTTTCTGTTGAATCTGAAAGAAAATAACGTGTTTGCTTAGTTTTATTAAATTATCAAGCACTAATTCTAAAAAAAAAATATTTTTTGAATTGTTTTTAGCAAGATAAACCAAATAGTTTGCTGCTGTTGGTAGATGGTTATTTAACAAAAAAAAAAAAAAAAAAAAAAAAAATTAAGTAGTGCATAATTAATTTGACTTGAAAAATGGATACTTTTTTTTTTTATCTTAGTATATTTTTTCTTTAAATATATAATTTGGCGGAGCTTTTGATCCATCACTTCCACGGCCACCCCAAATGTGTACGAACAATATGCATGTTTTTAAATCTCACTTATCTATGTTATGTAGTGAACAAAACAAGATCTAGATTTAAAATTCAAATGCTAAGCACTGACTCATTGATTTTGTTAGAAATTAAAAAGACTCGAATTTACAAACTTTGCTTAACACACAGGCAAAAGCGAATCCAAAACAAAACTCGTGAAATTTCACACCTTGATGCGAAATGTCTTTCAGCCAATAGAAAAATAGGAAACATTTAAAAACAAAATTCAAGTAATCTTCAATTCTCAGAAACAAATTCTTTTACGGACCTTTTCGCGAGCCGACGTGAAGTTTGTTCGTCGTCCAATGGAAAGACCCAAATCATATCAGGGAGTGAATTCTCAAATGATCTTTTCAAGCCCCACAAGCAAAATAAAAGACGGGCAAGTTCGCTTGTCACCAGAGAGAAGGAGACGAGAGTATTAACACGTCCCTTGACAAACGTCAAGCGATTGTTATTATTATATCTACCTTTCTCCTTCACCTCTTTTATACTTGATAAACGAACGGAACATTTTAAGACTGAACGATTACTTAAGACATTCCTACCCTACGATAACGCTCATACATACATACGTTTCTGCCTACGTACACATAAACTCATTCTTGCTAGGACTTACTACGAACATTTTGACGACTTTGTATCAACCAAAATACATTAATTTTATTTGTAGAGACCTTAATTGATTTATATGTATATAAATTTGTTGTTTCACTTTTACAATTTGATCTTCTCTTCTTGTTTTATACCCTTCTTATGGTGGGCTATCTAACTAACAAGGCCAAATCAAACTAATGTTTCAACACTCCTACACTTCAGTCACTATCTAATAACCCACTAAAACAGTTTTCGAAAATAAGCATGAAAGTAACTATATTGAATATTTGTCATAAATATACTTTTTTTATGATGGTTAAGTAGAAAAAAAATTGACTGTGTGAATTAGCAGAAGGATTTGGATTTAAAAAAATATCGGATTATTAAATTATTTATTGAACTTATTACGTTTTTACTTTTTAATTATTTTTCATTAATTTTCTAGTATAAAATTTTGTCTTTTAAGTTTTTTAACGGTCGGGTAAACTAAATAAAAATTCATTTTTTTTTTTTTTTTTTGAATGCTTTTAATTAATTTTAGAAAGAAATCACTCATAAAAATTGAATTTTATCAATATATTTGAATTTGTTGTTTAACAATATCATAGAGAAAAATCTTAACAAACCATAGCATTTTTAAATGAATTTCGCGGGGTAAAAAGTAAAAATAGATCGAAGAAAAAGGGTCTTCGGAAACATTTAAAATTAACTTCTAATAAGAAAGACTAGAAAGAAGAAATAAGAAAAATCATTTCCTTAAAAATAAAATCAAGGAAAATTGAATTTTAAAAATATGTAACATTTCGGTAAAAAAAAATTCAACATACTTTTTTTATTTGTTAGAAATACAGATTACAAAAAAAATAAAGCTGATCATTAGTGCATTTGCTTTTATGACTACAAATTTCATAGAGAAGCATACATTAATTTTTTTTTCTTTAAGTGAAAAATGTTAAAAATTAAACTTTGAAGTAACAAGACCGAGTTTCCTATATTACATATTTTAGTGAATTTCACGCACAAAAAAGTTCATTTTTGCAAGGAAAATATATAGCAAGAAGTCTGAAGGAAATAAAATAATACTTTAGTTTACTGCAATTAAATAAGCTAGTTATTCCAAATGTAATAATCAAAAATTATTAAACCAACTACTGCAGTGAACTACACCAACCCAAACTAGAAATCTTCACTCCTAGTAGAATGACGAGATTTGAAATAGGCCTCTAGTTCTGGGCGAAAGTTGCACTATGACTTGGCCTTTCATAAAGAATGTCATGCCAGAGACTAATAATCGTTGTTGTACTGTGTTCCCATTCGTCATGCTTTTTCTTCCACCTTGTGAGACAAAAAAAAAAAGAGAGAGATTAATCATGTTAAATATACGCCATACCATCATTACTATTATTGTTCCTACCAAAGAACACTTGCATTTTTACGTGTTTCCGATGGCAACAAATAAGCAAGCTGCAAAGCCAAAGATGTAGTTTTTTTTTTTTTTTTTTTTTTTTAGCTATTTATCTAGTAAAAATACACTCTAGAATGAAAAGAAAACTTAAAAAACTTAAATAAATAAATTTTGTGGGATTAGAACAGGTATTGAATTGGTTGACATCAAAGAAATGAATTCGTAGATTTGCGCGCATGCACATACCTGCTTCTCACTCTGGCACAAAAGAACATAAAATGTGTATTTTTTCTGATTGTATTCATAACTAATTAAACAAATTACACACAAACATTGAAGCATAATTTATGCATTTTCAGATCATTACGTACAAACAAACACAAAAAAAAATAAATTGCAAATATATTTTAACAGTTAAAATTTAACTTGAAAAATTCTCTATTACGAAGTAAGCTTTTACTTTGTGATATTTCCATAAAATGCATGAGTGACTATCAGTTCATCATGGAGGTTGGGAGCTTTCATTAGCATACAAATCCCTTTTTCTCTCCTTCGGCAGTCAATTTAATCTGAAATAGAAAAAAAAAAAAAAAAGTACAAAACAAAAACAAACACCCATGATGTGGTGTTGCTGCTGCTGCAGGTTATCAGGTTGGTAGGCTTCGGTAGTTTCTCCACAGTATGGCTGATGGAGGTTCTTCCGCTTTGGCTTATGAGACTGAACCCCGTGGATTTGTAACCGAGGCAATGCAAGAGGAAAACATTAATGTGGTTAGTTTGGGATTATATACACAGGTACGATTTTTAACTGGGTAGTTATCATTTCTGTTTTCAGTCAAACTTTTCTTTTGCAGGTTTTGTCAAACCCAACAGTAGCGATTTTACTGGTCGAACTGACACACGTTTGCTATTTTCTTCAAACTACGAGCTAAACAAATTCGTTTAAAGAAACAGTTTAAGATTGTGTTAAGTGAAAAGTCATTAGTACTTTTTGAGTAGTTGACAACTTTTCACTCTTCCTCAACTGATAGCGCTTCTAATGTGACAATATTTTTAGGATGAGCACACATCCCAAAATAACAACCTTTTCATGATTTATCTCAGATTCATCATCCTAGTTGTGAAAGCTGAAAACGATTCCTGTATGTAACTTTCTAGTAAAGGATTATTTTTTTCCGTATAAAATTTCACCTGCACTTTACAACTAAGTTTGTTGTGTTTTTTTTTTTCAATGGAAATAATAAAATAAAAATGATTCCAGGGAACACGCTGTACGCATGCACGCCAGATAGCACACAATCATTACTTTCTGGAATTGTAACAGTATTGTAATAATAATCAAGTTATTTGTTTCTCATAAGAATAGAATCGTCGCTTCTTCAAATAAATAAACTGTCGTCCAAAAATAAATTTTGTAATTCTGACGGACAATAAAAAGGCAAAGCTAACGTTTGCCAATAAGAAAAAAAAATATGAAAAGGCAAAAAAAGTACATATTTTGTTTCAAAGATGTCTATCAAATGGAAAATTTTTTTTTTCGTTGAGGTCTTTCCATCATTCTCACAGTTACATGATATCCACAATCAAAATATATTCTGTGGAATGAATGAGTTTGCTTTCCACTCGATGCTTTCTTATTTTAATATTTTTTGTTTTAAAAATAAGTTCTTTTGTTTAGCGGCTAGTTTCATTATTATAATCTTAAGTTGTTAAGCAGCTTACTTTTTGCGAGTTATATGAAAAATTAAAAAAAAAAAAAAGTGAGAGAAACATTATGATGCTACTACTTATTCTTTTTTTCTTCAACATTAAATCTGCCTCTAATTGTCAAACAAAAAAATGGATCTCTTCACACGCAAAAAAAAAATCCGTACTTTATTTTAAGAGATTGAGAAACCGATTTAAAATAATTACTAATTAATTTTATGAAAATTTTTAAATTGTAGAATGTTTAAATTTTAAAGATTAGTTTGAGTTTTAACATAATTGATTTTTTACTATTTAGGGAAAATATTAATATTCCAAGAAAAATCAATCAGTGTAAAAATGTGTTGAAATTAAAAAAATACATTATCCCTGACAATGGGGAAAATGTCAGTTGACTTACCTTCTCTTAGTTGTTCACAGAACAACCATTAGGGTTTTTTAAAAATATAATTTTAAATGAAAGATGCTAATTGCTTTATCCCCAAGAAATTGTAGTAAAATCTTACTTTATAGTTACTTATCAGCAGTTGATAGTGATGTTTTAAAGTAAGTAAACATTAGTCAATATTGATATCTTTCTTGTGAATATTTTAATTTCATTCAATATAAAACTAAAAAAGGTGTATTCTGTGTAAAAGTAAATAAAAATGAACAATTTTTTCTTGCATCTTGGTTTAATTAAATTCAATTTATTATTGCGAAATATTAATTAAGAAGATGAGATTATTAAATTTCCACACTTTTTTTTTTTTTTTTTTAGCGAAAAGGATTTTTATCGGAATTTTTTTCTTGTATAAATTACTAAAGTATTTTTAATCTATTTAAAAAATTTTAAAATAAAAAATCAATTCTATTTTTAACAGATGAGGATTTTTTTTTATTTCAAGTCAAGTTTTTTTTATTTTTTTAGCGAGAAAAAAAGGTAGCAACTTTTGAAGGCATTTTAATTGGGCAGAAGCCAAGTCATTTGTTAAAAAACTTAAGTATTTTTATATTTTTAAACTATGATTTTCGGGTGATTTTGCTAAGACGCTGTAAAAGCTAACATTGACTATCTCCATATGAAAATAGTAACGTAAAACAATGATATTTAAAAAAATAAGGCAACTTTACTAACTTTCGTAATGCGATGTAATAATTATTTTTATAAAATGTCCTATAACTATGTAACATTTAAAGAAAATGTGCATTCTTTTAAAATTTAATTTTAATAATTTATTGCACTCAAGTTCAATAAATTTATATTTCAGGATTTTCACAAATGTTATATCGTTATGTCACAAAGCTTCTGATGTGCATGTTGTGTAGTGGTTATTGGTGCAGAAAGGGGAATTGACATACCGAGTTTGTTGCAATCACTTTCACACAAATACCCTTGAGAACAGTATGAATCCATTTCTTCTACTCCGCCCAGCTATGGGTTAAATAGCAGAGCAGACTAGTTTTGGTTGGCAACCAGTTCAGAAGGGCGTCTCCGAATTCGAAACTGGTTGGGTGAGGGATTAGCAACTAGACCCTATAAAAACCTACTTGCTTCAGAAACCTTAAGCAGCAACATCTAGCATGATGAGACTGTAGCTCTATACTCTACAAGGGGGTTTAAAGAAGTCGGAGAGAGTTACAAACTTCTGTGCTTACAGAAATACCTGGAATTGTTTACTTAACCTGGATATTATTTCTCCCTTTTTTATCATCAAAAATTGGATTCCATTTCCTTTTTATCATGTTTCTCATGATAACTTGTAAGAATATCTCCAAATCTGAGATAAGAATAAAAGTTTCCATTCCTTATAAAACTGTTGGAGGTAAATCCTAAAATTAAATCAAGGCAACAAGGGTGCCCTTACATTACATCCTCTAATAATTAAACTACCTTACTATAGTACTTGCATAAATGTCTTTGTGCCTACTTTGTCCTTTATTTCTTATTTCTTGTGAATCAGTTTAGAATAAGACATCAGTCATTATTAAAGAGAAAACTGAATTTTTGAATGTGTTAAATTGCCCTTATTCTCTCAGTAACTTGTTAAATTCCACATTATTTAGTCTTTCTTAAACCCAAAGCTCACTATTTTGTTTTTTGCTTCATAATTCTTTAAACAACTTTAAACTAATTTTTGTTTTCGTTTTTTAGCATTATTCTGACAACAATGTTATATTCAAGATTGCAATTCTTTTTTTGTTGATAACTCATTTCAGATGTTAAAAATTTCTTATCTTTCACAGAATGTTAAATTATACCCAGAAAGCTGCTATCTGAGAAAAGCTGTCTTTTTCAACAAGTGTTTTTTTAAGTAACTCTAAAGTTAAAAGGGCAGGGGTGTTAATTCAAAATGATTCATACTAATTTAATTCTTGAGAAAACATGAGTAATTTTTGTCCCCATATCTAATGTGAATCTCATAATTAGACATAGTAATTTAAGTTTAAGTGTGTTTGTTTTTTCCATCTAAAATACCACTTGAATTTTTTTTTTATCTTGGGTTTTTAAAAAATTTCTAAAAGTTCAGCAAAATAGTCTACTCTCTTTATATTCACACACATAAGTAAATACTAAAGAAAGGTAGATTTTTAATCTGTCTGTTCATTTCGTTTATTTGGAGATATATATATAAAATGTGCCCCATTTACAGATTACTTTGTTTGGGGCTACAAAAATTAGTGCTGTCCATTTAAATTGAAAAAAAAATGAAACAATAGTTATTTCTCTATTACACCTTGTCAATTTTTGGGGGGGTTTGACAATTTTCCCTAAAGACTACTGAGCGACATGTGATACTGAAAATAGATTTTGAAGGAGACACACATACTTCTTTTTGTTCTATCTTCACTTTGTATTACATTTGAACATCCTGTTTCTGCTTTGGTAGATAACCATATATTTTTGCTTGATTGTTTATGCATGAATTTTAATTCTGTAAACTAGTGTTTTTTTATAATTTCTTTTTTTTTTATTTCCTCAGCAAATTAACCATGTCTAGAATGAGGCTTTGAGTTAATTTGTTGGAAACGATTAGAAGAGATGATTGAAAAAAAAGGAAAGTGATACAGAGTGAGAAATGTTAAATATGTCAAATAAACTTTCAATCCATTAATGCTTTTCAAATGAAGAAATTGCTGGTTAAAAATAGCTTTTCTCTTTTCTTTTTTCATAACAAAGTTATTTATATTTTGAAATTTGATTGTATTCATAAAATTACAAAATCTCTAAAACATATTTCCCACAATTTCTTGTGTTTATCAGACTTTTAGGATATTAAAGATATTTCATTAACAAGTCATCATTCTCAGACCATGAATAGAAGTGATGTTTTCTGTCTCTTTATATGAATACATACATACAAATACATATATATATAATTTTTACATTATTCAGACTATTGTCCTCATCTTTGTTGCCATATTTATCACAACGTTTCGGCTGTTGTACACTCCGGCCTTCTTCAGGTGGTTGGAATGTCAAACTGAACCCTTTATTTCGCTTGCTGGTGTAAACTGTTCTAGTAAGGCTTCAAGAACCTCAAAAAGCTGTAACACGAGGGGAAGTAGAAAAATTGGGTGTGGCTGACCACATATGGAGAAAAAAGGGAGATCACTGTTCTCTGTGGAATCAGGTTGAAATTGCAATATGAGCTCTGGGGAAAAAAAAACAAAAAAAACATGCGATGATAACAGCAAAAATTGCAATATGAGCACTGGTAAAAATGGTTGCTGAAGACATTAAGTTTATAAGTCCCAGAAATTCATACACAGGTGTCCTTAAGGACACATGGCACAGTGGATAAAGGCATTAATTAGATCCAGTGACAGAACCTAAAGTGTTGTGAGTTCAATACTTGGTTGAGGCAGTGGCAGAGGTGAATTAACAGGAGATAACTGATAACTGACATCAATTAGAACTAGAACAGTGTGAAATAAAGATAAATGTGATAAATATGGCAACAAAGATGAAGAGAATAGTCTGAATAATGTAAATAGTATACCTCATCTCAGAAATGTAGACAGACATATATATATATATACACATTACCAAAATAATGTAAACAACTAAAACATAGAATTAGAATTAATTAATTGGGACAAATATT